GTAAGGCTCGTTTACGACCTTTAATAATCAAATCCTCTAATGCTGATTGATAAGGATAAATGTTTCTAGGCGGAGTAGCTGACAAATTAATCCATTCATGAATGTTGACCGCTTGCGGGGACACATTAGAATAAAGACATCCCATGGGTAAGGGTGTAGTGGGAAGAATAGCTAAGCAAAGTCCTACTGTTAAGGATGTTATCCTGTCCACATATCGATGCTTAAACTTATTCAATATTTCTTGAAGGCATGTTCTTTGAAGATCAGTTAATACAACTAGATCTCCTGGTGATTGTGCTCCCTTCAAAGACTGAAATAAGGGCAACATATCACCAGTTGTAATGTAGAAGAATGGGAGTGCCCAATTAATAATGCCAAGTAATTTTTGCCATTGTACTAATGTATATGATTTCTGTACTTGTAATTCAGGAAGAATTGGAATGGAGGAATTGTGCAACATTCTGTTTCCCATTTTTCTTTTTTATAACAAAAACAGGAGTATTCCAAGAACTAGTAGAAGGTTCTATATGACCAGCAGCCAATTGTTCTTGAACCAATTGTTGTAAAGCAGCGAGTTTTTCCCTTGATAATGGCTATTGTTCCACTCAAACCGGCGTAGAACAGAGCCATTTAAGAGGAAGAGCCATCATCAAGAATCAAATGGGCATCAAGAAGAGAAAGGATATCACGGCCCCAAATATTAGTATGAATATCTAGAATGTATGGTTGTAGGAAAAAGGACTCACCAGATGTTGTAACATTAATTTCTTGAACACTCTGCCAAGCAGCTGTAGAACCTCCTATTCCCCACAATGAAAGAAATTGTCGTTTTTGGCCACTGTACTGGCCACTGTAAAGAGAAGATGACAGTAACATCGGCTCCAGTATCCAATAACCCTTGAAATGGTTGTTTATTAAGGAAGAGCGTTAACAAAGGATGAGAGGAGTTCAGCTGATGAAGTAAGCCTACAGATAAAGAAGTTGATCCAAATCCTGTATCCCCACGATTACCTATACCAGGAGATGGAATTTCATATGGAAGAAGAAGCAATTGAGCAACAGAAGAATTACAAGGAAGAACTTGAGGAAGATTCACCCAAATCTGAATCATGAGGATACCAGTGTAATCTGAATCTATTACCCCAGGCACAACAAAATAGCCCTTTTTATGTGCAGAAGAATGAGGCAAAATTAAGCCAACTAATCCTGAAGGAAGAGGACCTTTAAATTGAGATGGAACTATTTTAACTTCCATGGGAAATTTAAACTCAATTTCCTCTTGAGTGATTAAATCGATCCCAGCGCTACCGGCTGTGGCTGGGGAGGAGTGAGAGAGACTGCTGGAGGAGTCAGAGTGATGGGAAAGGCACACTTTGGATTCTGGGTGGGTGCCACACCCATTGGCAAGTTTCCCGACCGAAACCGATATTGATTGGCCCAATGAAATCCCTTTTTACAAATAGGGCACTTCTTAGAAGGACGATTCTGAGGCATAGAAGGTGTAGAATGACAGTCCTTCTGAAAGTGGCCAGGCTTCTTACACTTTAAACAGTTACCAATTGGTCGCTGTCCTTTCTGAATAGCAGCTGCTAACATATGCATTTTATAAGTTTGTGATCCAATATCCTGGCAGACTCGCAGCATATCTGCCAGAGTGTAATGAGCAGTAGCCTTTAACGGCTGTAAAGCTCTTTTATAATCTGCATTAGCATTTTCAATAGCTAACTGGCGAAGAAGTGCACCAGCAGCTTCCTGATGATCAAACTGCTGTCTAATTGCTTTGGACAGATGCTCAACAAAGTCAGCATAAGGCTCATTGGCATTCTGTCGAATGTTTGAAAAATTTGCTCTAGGTTCTCCAGCTTGGGGTACCTTAAGAAAAGCATGAAAGGCACATTCAGAAACAAAAGTTAACGTAGCTGGAGGAAGAACAACTTGAGTAGGAATTGTACCAAACGGTCCAGAACCAAATAGCTGCTCAATTGTATATGCTCCTCCTCCTCCTAAAGCAGCAGCTTGAGCATGTCTCATATATTCACTCTCCCAAACCACATATTGCATGGATGTTAAAATCATGTGAAATATTTGCTTCCAATCTTCAGGGATCATTGTATAACCATTTTTATTACTTTTACAAGTCCTCTTGTAAAATTACCACTAATCCCATAGTCTGTAACTGCCTTTTTTAACTCTTAAGATCTGATAAGGCAGACCCTCCCATTCTGCTACTTGCAGTCCAAGCTGTGGCCCCTGTCCAGGACGATATTGTACTGGACAAACAGACAGGAATTCTGCAAGTTCTGTTCCTGAGACAGAGGCATCCCTTTTACAAGTCTCTACCATTTTCTGAAAAGAAGACTGAACAATAGAATCAGGAGGCTTTTGCCCTGTATCTGCAGGAGCTGAGGGAATTGAAGACATATATTCAGGTGAAGAAGGGGGACAAATGACAGCATTAGTATAACGTGAAGGTGGAGATGTTAAAAGAGAAAGTTCATTGTGACCAAATTTTTCAATTGCATGCCTACATAAATGCCACACATGCAAAACTTCTATTTTTGCTCGAGGTTCAGTATGCAATGTTTTCCCAATACATTCCCAATCAGTTAATTTTAAAGACCCCTTTTCTGGGTACCATAGGCACTGAGCTGTAATCTCCTGGACCAACCTTAAGAGATTTCTCTGTGGTACCTCGGTATTATTTTTCTTCAACAAATAGCCTAATTCATCTACATGCTTTCATCCTTTGTTCCTCAGAAAGCGAAGACCCCATACTTACAGAAACCAAAAGGTCGAAGAAACCACAAAGGGTTGAAGGTGCACCAAATCCTTGCCGGACGAAATAAGAGGGACCCTGTTCGGGCGCCACTTGTTATAATGACGAGGCAGTCGAGTTGTTTGATCATGAACAACTGAATTATGATGATGATCTTTATTGGAGTATAGTCTTGCATTTATATACATTTTTAGTTATCCTCCATCATTGGTTAACTTTGGTTACTACTTAACTTTGGTTACTGTTTAGTACAGTAATCCATACAATTAATTATCTCTAGTTAAAGTCTAACATATGTTTACTTCTCCTCTCTAATCCTCCTTTATCCATAGATTAGTGACTTTGTTTGCCTGAGTTGTATTTGCTTGGAAACATTCTTTATCTGAGGTTTGCCATCCAAGATTGGAACATTCCTGCAATTACAACTCTACAGTGACCTTTTCATAATATTAAATAAAAAATGATTTTAAGTGGAGTTTTGATTGCTTTTAATGCATTCGGTTTGGCTAATTCAATAAACTATTTTATTGCAGTGAAATGGAATACATCCTTATTTACTTTATATAGAACCAATGTAAGCTAGCACATTTTTTATATTGTCAGGAGACAGGAATTTTTTTCAAAGTTTAAGGTTCTTAGTATAAATTAATAGTAAACGTTTCCTTATGACACAGCAAAGCCATTGTATTTTAAACTTAGCTGAAAAATACAAATTAGAATCTTTGTATTTGTTTTGATATTAGGACTGCATTAACTATACTTAAGTGTCTGAAGAATCCCAAAACAGTAAAATATGTTTGTAAGGATTTGTATTGCTGATTGAGAATGTAATTGTTTGTGAAAAGCCAATGCAGAATAATAGCCTGTTTGTAGCTTTTCATGAAGGGACGAAGTAAGTCTCATAGGCATATCACATTTTTATCTAGAGTTAACAGTAGTAATTCTGATCAATTGTCCACCCTAAGGAAATAAGAATAGAAAGAAGATTTGGTAAAATAAATTCTTGCTGCCCTTCATATCATTAACAAGTTTTGGATGGAGAAGAGTGCGTATATGAGAGTCAGCTTGGTCTGGTGTTTAAGGTACCAGGATAGAAAGCAAGAGACCGTGATTCCTGCCTTAGCCAGGAAAGCAAGCTGGATGACCTTGGGCCAATCACTTTTTCTCAGTCCAACTCACCTGCCAAAGTTTTTGTGAAGAAAATAAGAGGAGAAATTTGTATATATATTTTTGGATATGTCACTTTGAGTTATTTGTAAAAATAATAAAATATACACATAAATAAAATAAACTATCTAAAGTTTTTTGATTAGTGCTTGTAATGTTAATAAATGCATAGTGCAGAGAGTGGGAGGAAATGCTTTCATCTAAAATTAGATTAGACACAATCACATGCAATGAAAGAAGTGGCGCAATATTGCACTTTAGCATGCATTACAGGTAGTCCTCATTTAGTAACCATTTAGTTATGACAATAATGAAAAATAACTTTGCAAACAATTCTTGCATTTACAATCCTTGCAGGTTTGCAAAGCAAAGGAAAGCTGAAGTAAGCATAAGCACAATTGCAGTGATTTATTTAGTGATTGCTTTGCTTAGTGACCAAGTTGCCAGTTCCACTTGAGGTCACTAAATCAGGACTTTTTCTTCACTTGATTTTAGAGAAATTCCTGGATTAGAGTAATTTGTTGGTATTCCTATGACAGGATAAATAACCAAGAGGTATTGTCTTCAGGATCATCTACTAAGGTTATATGCTGATTATAGACTGATTATAGAAGAAGTTATCTTTTCTTTTTTTCTTTTGATATTTTTATTCTTAACATGTATTTTTATATAAACATGGAAGAAACTCTCCACTCATTAGCACTGATGATGTTACCTAGTTGAGTATTGAAGCATCTGCAAGCAAACAATCAAAGTCAGAGAACACCAAGGACTCTACAGTTCAACCCTGAGCTGCACATATTCTAATGGATTTATCTTTACTTTCTTTCTTTCTTTCACCTTCCTTCCTTCCCTTCCCTTTCCAAATTCCTTTCTCACAGGCTGCCAGATATATGATAAGGCATACAATCAGAAATTCTTATTATGACTTCTAATAAAATGTGTTAGTCTAAAAAAGTGTTACCAGAGTCCTGATCTTTTGCTACCATAGGGCTTTCCTTCTGCTGTGTCATATATCATATATGTTTTGTTTTTCTTAGGAAATGGTCCACCTCACCTGATAGAATTCACCCACTTGGTGTACATAGCCAGCAACTTCAGGATCTTTATCGTGTATTCGCCATACAATTCTCTCAGCGTTTTTGTATTCTTTCGCTTTGCTCCATGGCACAGTGGGCAGAAATCGTTCAGTAAGTGAAGCTGCCACAATGATATCAAGTTGCCCATTGTATAAGAGAACCTGGAAGTCAAATATAAGTATAAATACAAGTAAAGCAAAATAATATTTTCACTGCTTGTTTTGTTGATTTTTATCAATACATATACAATACATATAATTGCCATAAAGAATGTATTTTTCTTTTCTTTCTTTTCTTTTCCCCACTTTTTTGCCCGTTTAGCTTTCTTTCTTTTTCTTATTTTGTATTAGTATTATTTTATTCCTTCTTTAAAATCTTTAATAAAAATTATGTACATTTATGTTTATATATAAATATAGTCTCCCTTTTCTCACTCTTTCTCTCTCTACTTATCTATCTATATACAGTATTACAGCTGATATCTATTCACTGTAGATTATACAGAAATAAACAGCAGCAGCAAAATATTAAGAACATTAGGCTGTGCTATCTAAATGGAAAGGAAAATTGACAACAGATGTGCTCAGTTCAGGAATTTATGCAGAGGAAGTATCAAAATCTCAAGATGGCAGTTATGACTGAAGCCCTGTCCTTCCCATTTTCTTTTTTTTTTTAAATATAAAAAAGAGATAAGGCTTCAGTCACATGGTTATAGCTGCCATCTTGATTTTTTTCTATTTTTATCTTAGGAAACCAGGTTTGGCCTAAAGATTCAGAATCATAGGCATTTCCCTTAAATCTTTGGGCGCTCCCCCCACTGAACATTATTCAGTATCCAGAGACTAACATTAATTATATTCATTTCATAAAAATATTAGTTTAAATATGGTTTATTACTGTATTATTACTTTGGCTCATCTTTTTTCATGTACAGTTTTTTTCATGCCACCTCAAAGTTCAAATGCAGCACTTGATTAAAAAATACTGTGAATTCCCAATTCACAATTAAGATATTAGATTGTACATCATTTCAAAAAGGAGATTTTATTAATACAGAAACATACTTAAGTCTACAAAGGTGACTTAACTTTCTCTTTAAATCTTATTAGGTACTTCTGATACTCTAGCCCATTTTTTGACAGTAAGTTAGCACAATCTAATGTAATCACAACGGATATTAAAATTTAGTATGACAATATTTTTTCAGACAAATGCTGGATAGTTCCACGATCATCTCAAAAGAGTGTATACCATATATTGAAAGATAATTGTAGTGGCAAATGTACTTCAGTAAAAAGTAAATGTATATTTATCAAAACAGATAAACAGAATGACCATGGGTGGGGAAAAAATATGAAGTGACTTCCAACTTCCTGCTAGCTTCCCATTGACATTGCTTGTGGAAAGGAAGGAGCATTGGAAATCATGATCACATGACCACAGATATGCTGCAATAGCCATAGCTCTCCAAACAAACCAGAACATTATAGAAAGTTGAATTCTTTGGGAGTAAAGGGTTCTCAATTTTTATGCATTCTTAAAGTTAGCAGGCTAAATTGAGGGTACAAATAGATAAACACAATGTGGGGTTTAATGGTATATACCGTATTTATCGGCGTATAACACGCACTTTTTTCCCCCTGAAAATAGGGGGCAAATGATGTATGCGCGTTATACGCCGATATAATGTTAAGAAGCCAGCGGAGGCCGGGCGGTGCGAGCGGAGGCCGGGCGGTGCGAGCGGTGCGAGCGGAGGCCGGGCGGTGCGAGCGGAGGCCGGGCGGTGCGAGCAGAGGGCATTATTTTGCATTATTTACCTCAGGGGTCCTCAACCACCGGGCCGCGGACCGGTACCGGGCCGTGGAGCACTCTCTACCGGGCCGCAAAGAATTTTTTTTTTTAAAAAAATGGCGGCTTTCTTCACCTTCGGTGAATGCTGCTGGGATCGGGGATCAAGGACACAAATGAAAGAAGGGGAGGGAGGAAGCAACCGAAGCCTGTCCTTCTCTCTGGGTCAGCTCTCTCAGTCGCTCTCTCGCTCCTCCACCAGCACAGGA